CGCCAGGACCAAATGAAGGATCAGTGTCTTGCTCAAGGACAATTCAACATATGTGCTATTCTTCACTATGAACAAAAGGACATCCAGTATGCTTTAAAATTATGATGGCAGAGGTCTAAGTTCCTTAGATATAGTAAATTTAAAGTAAATGGTGCATGAGATAGAAGCCATGCTGCAAGTGTTCACAAAATGTGTGGGGGAATTACAGCACAGCCAAAGCACTGTCACACTATTTGCCCATTCACACTCCCAAGCACTCACACATTCACTCACTGGTGATATCGCCAGGACCAAATGAAGGATCAGTGTCTTGCTCAAGGACAATTCAACATATGTGCTATTCTTCACTATGAACAAAAGGACATCCAGTATGCTTTAAAATTATGATGGCAGAGGTCTAAGTTCCTTAGATATAGTAAATTTAAAGTAAATGGTGCATGAGATAGAAGCCATGCTGCAAGTGTTCACAAAATGTGTGGGGGAAAAAGCATTTTAATATGGCAGCTATTTTTCAGTTTCTAGGAAAAAAATATCTTGTGCCTGCCTTCAGATTTAAGCTTATTGTCAAAGTCACAAAACAAATCTATTTTCACCTCAGTTGCTTGGCTTGGTTGTATTCACATGAGAATCAATCACCAGGTGGTGATTGTGGTTGCTGACTGACTCAACAGTGCAGAAAAGTGTGGAGTGAGAAATAGAGAAGATGAAAGAAAATACTGCAGTAGTAAAGGAAGTCACAGGGGAAGGATGCTAAGCGGACACATAAAAATCGAAATGGACGACGTAACTGCACATGACAACAGCAGCCATTTGTACCTATAATTATTGTCTCAGAGCTACTGTATCTTAATTATAAGCTTTACCTAGGAATTCAGCACTTTTCCCAAACTAAAGAACATTAAATTATAAGTCTCCTTTTAGATCCAACACTGTGACACCACACAGGGAGATTTGGCAAAGTTGGCATTCAAGTGCAACACGCTCAGATGTGATTTTAAGCTGGCACGCCCTAAGCATCTGTGCTGACTCTGATTGAACTAATAAGCTCATGCCTGAAACCTTAAGTGACACTCCAAAAAAGCAGCAGTGTCAAGTCTCAAATGGGCGACACCACACCAAGACGATGATGACACGAGCATTGTGAATATGAGGTGAAAAGTATGGTAATGTTGTCAGTGCTCCCCGAGGCCTCAAAGCCATCATCCAGCAAAACAAGAGACTCAGCGATGCACTCCCTCGTTACTGGCTGGCACATATTCTGTCAGTCTTCCCAACGCCGGCCTGCTGCTCTGATTACTTTCTCTCTACTTCCTACATCCCTTGAAGACTGCTTGACCTTTTGTAATAACACAAAATGATATTTAGCTTGCTCTTTCTGGAGGATAAAAACCCCCCCCCCCCAACAAAAACTTGCAATCATGATAGGGTGAGTCTCATGTGATCATCATAACTACAGCCTCCATGAGCATGATAGCTAAAGGCAGCTTGGTTTCTTGGAGAGTACAGAGCCTGACCAGTTTTATTCTCTGCCAGGAGGAGTGAACTTAAAGAGACATAGGACTCTGATGCTGTCTGAAAACCCCAAGAATATTTATGTAGTCATATTACCACTTTTTGACTCGTGTATCAATGAGGAAATTCACATTCTTCAGGAGATTGTTTTGACATGTATGCTACAATAGAAAGCAAAGAGTGGCAAAGGAACGCTAAAATAAGCAACAATCATGCAGACACTGCTTGCTGCTAACTGAAAGCAACTTGGAGTTTTCTTTTTTACTGTAAGTGCAACAATTATCACGCACAACAGATGGAGTTTGTGTTTAATATATTCATAGATACTGACAGAGATCCACACAAGATTTCCAATGCAGATGTATATCTGTCCATGTTGTTACAATGAGGCCAGCTCAGCCATCTTGCTAAAAGTGTAAGACTAGCTTGGCTGTAGTTAACCAGTACAGGTTTCTAATCAATATGTTGGCTGAGGAGTAGGAACTGATTCAGCTATAAACTGCCATCTTCTTAAGGTGTTCCCTTCCTCCTTTTCACTAGCACCTTTACTGACCTGACTATTGGTCATGTGTTTGTTGGATTTTTAAATTTGCATGGGTTGGTCACATGTAGCACTTCTAATCTCATTGCACTTGTAAAATGACAATAAAGGCCTTCTCTTCTATTCTAATGATACTAATGAGACCACCTTAGTTAACATTAGCTTTTTCCTTAATGTAGGAATTGTTATGGTTGCTGGAAAACATTCAAGCTGCGAGCATAACTTTTCTGTTAGGAATATGGTTATTTCACACTTTAGTCTAAACAATAAGAGCCTTCATCTAAGGACCTGACCTAGTCACATACAAGCTGTTACTTTACATCACTGAGGGCAGACTACTTTAAAGAAGCCCTTTTTAAATTGTAACAACGAGGAAACCTTAACTACAGTTTATGTGTGTGGTTATTTATATTAGCACCTGCAAATCATGACTGTCAGTACTGCAGGTTTGACTGTTGGTGTGATGAGCTGTCAGCTTTACTAAGTCAGGGGCCTGCTGTCACACATCAAATGTAAACAATAGTAAAAACACTGACTTTTATAATAAAAATTGCATTAAATATAGATAATTTAATATGCACAATATCTAACCCACTTGATAAAGTAAGACTGTGGCGATACTGATCCCATGAATCACAACACTGGCTTCCTCGTGTACACACAGCGGAAGACATAATGCCCATTGCAGAAAAATTCCTGCTACCTCATTTCACACTTTATCAATACACAAGCTGTTTTTTCCCCACTATCTGCAGGGAAATGGTAAAATCTTCACACTTTCAGTCACTAAAATAAATCCTCCCACACGCACATGCACACATACAGAGAGGAACACAGAAGAAATCTGCCATGAAACAATCATAAAAGGTCATGTTGACGAGTGAGAAATAGATTAAATTAGCATAGTATTAGATATGGAAAATGATTTTGTTAAATCAAACTGTTGCACAATTATAATATGTTAATTACTTATTTCATTAAGGAAGCTGATTGCAGTTCAGGGATGAAATCATGCGGGCAGAGACACCTGGAAAGAGGTGATGAAGCTTGAAACCCGTCTCTCCCTCCGCTCTGACACCCTTTGTCCTCGTCACCGGTTCTATTCTCGCTTTGGCTTTTTATGCATGCATTAAGTGCCTGAACGTGCCACACAAAAATGCATCAAAGGGCGCAGGACTTCTCATTTGTTCATTAAAGGAACGATGAGTAGTGCGAGATCATACGAGCCACCCACAATATTCCTCAAGGGAACTGAGGAGCTGAATCAGTGAGTGAGGCAGCCAATGAAAACAGTTTTCAATGCACAGGCTGGTTAGCAGAAACTCTCATTTTACTAATTACTGTTATAATAACATGGACTCATTTACAGTAGTGGAAGATACAGTATGAGCTGTGCTTGTGTATTTACTGTCTCATGATGAAAGTTAAAAAAAAAAAAGTTTAAAGCCAAACTGAATTTGGCTTAAAAATTTTTGTCTTTTGAGGCATTTAATTTGAAGATACTATATGTCAAAAAAATTCTACAATTTTGTAAAAACCTTTAAAAAGCTAGCAAGCACTTGCCAACTGCTCTGTCTAAAACAGGCTGCTACATTCACGGTTTGTTTTGTTTACCAACAGACAATACATGACTTCAACATTTGTGGATTTTGGTTTACAAGAGTAGTTCTTTGTAATTAGAGACATAACACAAAATATGTAAATTGCTACAGATATAAAAAAAGCAACATAACCATTAAAACTAAGAAGAAACAAAGCAGAAAGCTTTAGTATGAGATAGGACAAGTCAGTGGTGAGAACTGAAAACCACCATCTCTTCTTTCTCAGATGACTGAGGAAATTGGTATGGACCACAGGATCCTCTGCAACTTTTACATGTGCACTAATGAGAGTGTCCTCTGGCTGCATCAAAGCCTGGTTTGGGAGCAGCTCTAAGCAGGACAGAACAGCCCTGTAGAGAGTCATCAAGGTCGCTCAAGACATGGCCAGGTCTGAACTGCCTTCCATGCAGGACCTCGACCTTTAGAGGGGCATGAGGAAAACTGGGAAAATCTACAAAGACTTCAAAAACCCCAGTCACACACCATTTTCACTATTGCCAGAAAACAGAGAACCATCAGATCTAGGCCGAGCAGGCTCTGACATGGCTTCTCTCTACAAGTCCAACAGTCTGCTGGACTTGGGGAGTCTATGAACATACATGTGCAACGTACAATTGCTCCCTCTCCCTTCACACCACAAACTCCTTCGCCACACTCCTCACAAACCCAACCAGCAGAGATTGGCGACTGACACAAATGCTGTAAAGCTTCAGATGTTAAATTAATAAATACAAAGCCCCAAACTATCTACAGTAAAGTGTAATCGCAGCCCAACAAAGCATCTCCAACCACTGAGGGGAAGTGCTTGTTAATAAACTGAGATGGAAAAAAAAAATCTACCAAGCAATCCAAATGTTAGTAGCACCAAGGTAAGACATCAACAATGCAGCAGATAATTAACTTAGATATATATAAGCCTGAAGATTGAAAATGCATGAGACTGGGTTTAGCAGCAACATGAAGCATAGATCAGGAGCTCATAGGTTAGATGCAGTTATGATATGAAGACTAATAAAGCAAGCTAATTTATAACACCTGATTTATCCAGTGATTAACATGAGATATACTGGATAACATTGGTAGAGGCAAGCATGAGATTTCCAGAAAACCAATATTTTTTTGCATTTCACTCCCAAAAATTGACCCAATTAAAGAAAAAGGTGCCAACAATCAACCAACCAAAGTAAAACATTATACACAATACCACAGCAGTGCTGAAAGTGCAGAAATAAACAGCCAGCAAACACCTAGACAACACAATCAGACCTACAGCAGAGCAAATCACGGAACAATGCCACAATAATAACAACAACACACATTATGTATGCCAGAAAGAGCCAACTTACCTTGCTGCGGTGAAGCGGAAGAGGGGAACATGCTGGTTGATCTGACGTAGGCCTACTCCCAGTTTGTCCCAGTTGGACAAGGAAACTCCACTCCTGGCTTGTGTTTAATGAGACAGTCAACTGGTTTCAGAAGCAAACTCTTCCTTCTCGGGGTAATCCTTAAGTAAGAGTCACACTGTTTGTAAGCAATATTGATTCAGAGACGACAAACGAACAGCAGCAGCAAAACGCAGCGTCCGCTTGCACACCTGCATACAATCAACCAGGTGAACGAGTGGGCGTGGCTTTGATAGGTTTAAATAGATGCCCTCAGCAGAAGGTGCGTTGGATTTATGATAGCTAGGAGAGTTGCTCATCTGGGACTAATTGAGACGCTAGAGGTCGTTTTGCGCATCTAAGCTGCTTTAAATGTGAAATGTATAGAAACATTGTTGACAGACAAAACTGATGACAAAAATAGTGAAATATGAATGAAAGAAATTAATGAATGAAATAAGGCTATGGATATTTTACAGTGCTTCATGATTGTTGATATTTGTTTGACGTTTTATTGGAATGTACTGTACATTTCTCACCTACATCCCTGAACCATTTCAGTGTAGCTGGTGACCTCTGTAATAGGTGTGATGACATGGAAGTGCTAATCTCTGCACTTCCATCTGGTTTGGTTCGGCAATCAAACAGGGCAGGAACAGATTCCAGCAGACAGTGAAGTATACAGAAAGACTCAGTGGTGCCAGCCTGGCCTCCATGGAGGACCTGTACACCTCTTGACTCAAGAGGAGGGCAGAGAAGATGCCTGCTCATTTATATCTGCATGGAGTCTATCAGTGCTGTGTGACTTTACCAACTTCTGAGCAATAAATAATTCCACAAAGCCTTCATATTTTGCAAAATTGGATACATCTCTAACATAATTTGTAATCTAATCAAGAGCCAGAAAACTTTGGGCTGAAACCTTTTGCCTGATTGAAAGACTGACATCTCTTCTGTGAGTTACTGAAAGGCTGAAAGACCGCGAGATGATGGCTCCGCTAAGTGACACTTGCCTCTGACAAGTGGCAAATGGAGAGGATTAACATAAGCCAATGAGCTACAGAATGAATATATGTTCAAACCTCATTTGAACTGGCATCTGTGACACTGCCATGCCAATTTAGAGAGAATTCAATCTGCTAGCATCAACTCACTAAAACTGTTATTGGACTCGTGAAGAAGCCAATTTGTTTCTAAATGTGTGCAGTCAGGCTTCTTTATGATCATATGATATCTGTATCTATTCTTGAGCTTCAGCTGTATTCTCAACTCCATCAGCACTCAAATTAGCCTTTCTCATCAAGTATTTGAGGGAAGATTAGGACATAATTCAGTCTATCATTTTGACAGACAGGCTTAATGTTTGCTAGGATGTTTGAGAGGTTATCAGCTGTCAGTAGAAATTGCTAAAAAGTTGATGAAGTTTGTGTTTCATTGGTGAGCAGCAGTTAATCCAGTGTACCAGATTCTGGGATGAATCATTTTTGATGAGGCTGGCAGCTCTTTTTCCATCAGTTTCATTCATGTTTATGTAACTAGCTCTGTAACCTTCCTTTTTTTGCATCTGATTTCAAAAATATACTGTAAATGCAACCTTTGTGAATATGATGGTACTTTTCTTTTTTTGTGTTGCTACTGTATATCAAATATTTTTCTCAAAATATATTGCATAGATGCACCTTTAAAGCAACAAATACTTTGTTCACTAACTAACACTTTATATTTTGTTTGCTTGATTTTTACTAAAGTCAAATACTGTTTCAAAAGAGCCAGGCTAGTTGTTTCCCTAGGTTTCCAGTTTTTATGCTAAGCTAAGCTGTAGCTTCACATTTATCACACGTAGAGAGAGTGGTATACTTCTCCCCCAACTCTTGGCAAGAAAACGAATAAGCATATTTCCCAAAACGTCCAACAAATCCTTTAACAACTGAGCCTTTATGCTGGTTTGAAGTCATCTCACATAAAAGAAATGAAACATTGACAGCTATGGAAGTAAAAGGCGGCAAGTTAGCAACCAACAATTGTTTGTACTGACCAGTGTTGTTGTACTCGAGTCCAGCTCAACATGGACTTGAGGACTGATGACTTGGTCTTGGACTCGAGCACTGTTTGCATTGGAGACAAGGACTCTGACAAGATAATGCTATTGATAAACTATAGAAGATGGGGGAAAACCTCTATACTGTAATGCCTATATATTAAAATGTTTTTAAAATATGTATTGATACAAATAAAGTTCATAGTAAAATTAATATACTGTACATTTTCTTCTACTTGCCATCTGTAATTTGCTGTCACTTGCTTCCTGTAACTTAAAAGTACAAATTTTTGAAGTCAAATGTTTCAGGAAGCTGTATACGATTCTGTGTCTCACGGTTTGATTATTGTGATGAATGATTATCATCTTTCTTGCTCTCACAGGCCAGCAGAGTATAGGAATGACCAGTTTCTTAGACTATTATCTCTCATCTGTTTGTGCACTTGCACTTTAATGCTCCAGAGGAGATGTGTCTGAATAAAATTAGAATAACTGGATGAGAAAGAGGAGGTTCACTCTGGTGGGGCCTGGTATGTGTGTGTGTGTGCAGCAGTAGACAGGAGTGTGTGTTATGTGTGCAGGAGAGCTTGTATATGCCCTGTCATATGATAAATGTTCTCTCTCTTATAATCTGTGTGTTTCAAAATATGATGTATGTGAGGATGAACTTTGAATTATAACCTAAAGAGTGACTCATTAATCTTCTGACTTTGGTGGGGAGTGGACCAGAGGAATCCATTTTGCGTGTTTATGTTTTATGAATAATGCAATATTGCAACTGGCCAGGTGGATCTGGGTAGTGACATTCAAACATATAGAAGTTGACATACAAACAAACAGCTCTGTTTACTGGAATGAAAAGGAGGTGAAAGCATGTTAACATTCAAAAAGAAGGTCAACAGATCCAGCTAGGGTTTTACTATGTGCTGTACCTGACCTCAGTGCTCTGCGAATATAGTTGTGGTCAAATTGATGGTTTATTTCTTGGTCTGTTTTCTCACGTTTTAGTGTGTTCTGCACTATAAACTTACCTCAGGTAATACCTTACTTCAACAACTAATTTCAATTAGTCCAATAACCTGGCTTATGTCAAATAACCTGCAAAACTAATGTCGCTCCAGCCTGAGCTGCACTTTGTGTTACTTAGCAAATATTAGCATTTAAAATGCTAAATAAAGATGCTAAACATGGTAAACATTATACCTGCTAAAAATCAGCTTGTCTGTATTAGTGTCACTGAGAGCCTGCCCACATGCTAATATTAGCACTTAGCTCAAAACCAGTAAAATGCCCAAGTACAGCCTAACATGGCAAAAGACACTTAGCCTGATTTATGATTCTGCATTGAATTTATGCAGAGCCTACACTGTAGGCTCTGCATAAGTGGCCATTGTGAGCTTTTACATGTGCATTTATATGTCTGCTTCATCCTGCAATTACACCCTTAAAACGCTAGTTGGAGGTGGGGTTTCTACGCCACTGTGTTGAGTTTCTTTGCTACTTAAAAACAATGGTGGTCAAAAGGAGGAGATCACATTGATGTTAAACCTAACAGATGTTGAAAAGCAGTTACTTTTACTGAAGATATTGCAATGCAGACGAGAGAAAACATCAGAAGAGATGATCTGTACCAGCATTGAACCAACTGAAGCAGAACGAGGGGGATTTTTGTGCTTGTGCAGTCACTGAGAGACATGAATGAAGAAATGCAATGCAACCAATCACAGGTGCATGTCAGGCTGTGGCAGAGGGTACAAAGGCTATGAGGCTACATGCTACCTACACCTTAATCTACGTAGATTTGATGCAGAAGCATAAATTGGCCTTTAGTCTTGTTTTTATTTTATTATTTCTACCTAAAACTCAGTAGAAAGCTGTACTGAGACTTAGAAAATCAATATTTAAATTTTCAAAAACAGCCAATCTCGTTTCAATAAAGATGATTTTTATTATAAGTTAATCATCCAAGATATCTGGATTAATAACTTTGTCTATAAAATGTCGGAAAAAAAAGTCATTTGTCTGAGGCTAATACCTAACCTGGAAAATGTTTGGTTTTTGTTGTTTCAGATCATTGATGATGACAGTAGTTGCTGATTATTTTTGTTTTGATCACCTAATTGGTTCATCAACTAATTCTGCTCTTCTTTTTGCAATATGACACAACATGTAAATCTAATTCAGTTTATTTTGTTAAATGACAATTTGCAGCAAAACTGAGCAAGTCCCAGTGAACTACAACGCATCTGTTCAGATAATTCCTCACAAAAATATGCCTCATTACAATTTTACATTCATTTATGCATGCTTCTGGTTCAATTATTGTTTTCCACAGAGAGCGCCAAAAGATGCACAATCAGTCGCATGGCAATTTCAGATAGTCATTTAGCTCCTGAGGCCCAAGTGGTGTCCTCAATCTGAGTGGCAAAATCCTTTTCACAGGAAAATGTAAAAACCGACCAAGTTATCTGGTGAACCCAGACACAATGTAAGAGGTGATTTACTCTGAGCAAGCTACATGTCACCAGGGCTTTATTTGTTTCCCAGAGGTCTGATTTGAACTTAAATTGCTTCTGTGAAGACTTGGCTCGGCTTTTCATTATGTTGCCCCTCCTACTGCTTATACATTATGGAGCCCCATGTGCCCTGCTGTGCTGTAGCCTCCATCAGTGTTATTGTATAACTATCTGTCAAAGTGCATACGAGGGATTTATAAGTCTTATTTTCCATGTCATCATAGAGCAGAATACCAGCAAAAACTGAGGAGCCCACTTCGAAAAACAGGATGAAAATGGCTTATATAGAGTTTATTTTAGTTATGGAGTTTATTTTTGCAAGTTAGACAATTTAAGAAGCTTAGTCTTGCATTTTTACCAATTTGTTAGTTATGAATTGAATTACAAATATGATTTAAAATATAATTAAAAAGAACAGATTGTTATATTTCCGCAAATGTATCATCGACATGCAGGAGACCTGGCACAACATGCTGTTGGTAATAAAATGAAAACAGCACCATGTCACAGATAGTTCATAGAATCAATAATTGCTCAGGAATCACCCAAGTTAACATTAATATTAATACATGACCCACATCAGTGTGTTCTTGTAACAAATGATTTATGTTAGAGTACACTGTGGGTAACACAGAGAGTTTGCATTTTTCATTTCCAAATAAGTAATTTATAAGAAAATTTGAATTTGTAGAT